AATTTAAAGATGATCAAATCCAGCCTCTTCATTTTATAGATTGGGAAGCTGATAGCCAAAGAGATAATCTTCCCAGTGTTACACCATTAGTGAGTGATGTAGCTGGGATTTTAGGTTCAAATCCTAGGAGTCAGAGCACCTAGGTATGGTGCTCTGACTCCAAATTCACTTCCATTTCTCCTGAAGAGTGCTGCTTTTGCACTGTGAACTTCATCAGAGAAAAGTTTTTGTCTTATTAATAGTTTTTATTTCCCCAGTGCCTAGCACAATGCTCTGTACCTAGTACTACCTCAGTAAACAAATAATACCAGTGACTGTTGAGTGAATGACTGAATAAGCAAATAATTATAATGTATGACTATCTGTCCAGGAGTAATAAGCACCAGACATATACAGTAGTCTGCTCTGGCCTTGAATTTACAGCAATCTCATCAATCCCAGTGAAGTAGGATCTCCTTTCTCTGTAGACCTCAACAATAAGTCTGTCACTGACACAGCAAAAGTGAACAGAGCAGACAGTTGTCTCAGTTTATTCAGCAGAGGCCTTACACTCCTGGTTTTCTTTGGCACAATACCCAGCAACCTAACCCATCATCCTCACTGAGATGTTCCCTTCTAAAAATAAGCTGCGACCAACATCAGCTCCAAAACCCTTGTCCTGCTATAAATAGTTCTCTGTATCATCAAACATATGGTTCATGAGGCTATTCTGGGACATTTGAGCATCAATGAATCAGATCAACAGAGTTCAAAACTATGGCAAGTCTAAAGTATCACGTTTCCAGGAATTCTGTTGTAGAACAAAACATTTACAACATGGTTCTCAAAACATGCGGCCTGTTGGTAGCGTGAACAAACAAAATACTTTTGCCTTTAATAAAAGCATCTCAAACATGACATTGTTTAATTCTTTACTTTGTTAAAATTATTAAATTTAGATCAGGTCAATAAGTATTTATTGAGCACCTCACTAGGCCCTGCTGTAGGATCCAAGAGAAAGAGGTCTGGGATGTAGCAAAGAAATCATTAGTTGACACCTACAGTACTGAGAGATATTCCTGCCTGGCTTCTTAGGAGATACAGAGAAAATCACAGGATCTCATGGTTAGAACTGGAAGAAATCTCAGTGGCAATTTAATCCAACCCCCTCATTTTAAAGATGAGAGAACTGACCTTAAAAAAAAAAGTTAAGTTAAACTCAAATTTTAAAAAAAAGTTAAGAAACTCAATCAAGGTCACATAAGTAATGTGGCAGAACCAGAATATCAACCCACACCTCTAACTCTAAATCCACAGTTCTTTTCACTGTAGCATGGATTATATGACCTCTAAATTTCCTTCTATCTCTGGGATTCTCTAATTCTGTGATGGACACTCCATCCACATTGCCTTATATGGCATAGAGGATATCCTCTTCCTGAGAGAGAGAATGAGCTAAAAAAGGTAAACAGTTTAACCTTGTCATAAGTGGCAGAGCTTACATGGGGGGAGAGGGGAAAGGGCGGGGAAGAATTTAAATCCTATGCCAATATGCTTACTACTTCCCCAATATGTTACTTGTAAGTATGATATCCATACGTCCTGAATTTTATATGACAGTCTCAATTTCAATAAAAGGAAGATTCTTCCTTCCTTCATTGTAAAGGTGAAGGACTATGAACGTGGAACATTGTAAATAAATACCGTTAGACTCAGCTGCTGTGTTAGTTTTGCAACTGCTTTTCCTACTTTTTTTCTTATTCTTTTTTTATTCTTTGTGATAGGGATGGTTCTCTGGGGAGGGGAAAGGGAAAGAATATGTGAAGGTGATATGAAAACAAAAGATACTAATGAAAAGGATTTTCTTAAGTTTAAAAATGTTCAAAAGGAAAAAGAAAAGGAAATATAATTTTAATAAAACCCTTGCCGATATTCCCCACCCCATCTTGAGCAGGTGACTCTGTGCATAAACATTGTCATTGCCCTGAAATGTTGACTCTGGAGTGTTCAGCTTGGTTTCTAGGAAGCCCTTTTCCTTAACTTTAGAAATTCCCTTGGCCTGGTAACCTGGATTAACCAAGTTATCTGGTGGTACCAAGTGCTTGTCCATCGTAAGGGAAAACCCTAAACTTTCTTGCAGTAGAAAGAACCCTGAAATTGGAGTCAGAAGACCTGGGGTCTAGTTCTGCTCTGCCTCTCACTATCTGTATGACCTTGGGCAAGTCACTTCCCCTACTGGCTTCTGTGTTTCCTCATTTCTAACTGGGAATCATAGTACATGCACTGTACACCTCAGGAGACTTGTAAAATAGTATGAAAACTGCAAAAACCCACATAAAAGTGAGTTAACATCATTATTATAACTTGCAAAATTGGTGTTGAACATTTAATCCATAGAAATGAATCTAGAGTACTCAAGGTCTGAACATACTTTACTTCTTCCTGTAGGATCCAAACACATATTGTGGACATTCAATAAATGATCAATGAACTGTGAGCCATATAGTGATCAGGGAAATCCCAGATTTGCTAGACTGGGTCATCTCTTATACAGTTGGACTTTATGCTTCATGCTTCATGCTAGGTTTTGGCCTTGCTTGGATGACATACCGATTCCTCATTTGTCCTAAGTCATGTGCTCTGTCTGACTTAAGTTGATACCCTGGTAATTTAGGTCTGATATTGAAATGAAAATGATTTTTACTTAGTCATAGCAGTAGAAAAATATTCAATAAGAATATTCAGTAAGGACATCACATTGATTTAGCTGAGCACAGCTTCCTAGTGTCAATGATGCTGTTGGTCAATGGTCAGAAGCCTTACAGAGGAACTGACTGTTTGGTAGGGTCTCAGGAAAAGCTAGCCCAGCATACAATAACAGGACACTGAGAGATATTGCTTGTATTACGGTCCCCATGATCTTGATTGTTTGAAGAGAATTGGCCCCTGAGAGTCAGGAGACTGAGCTCTTGTGAGTCAGAAGGATAGACTCTCGTCAGATTATAAGAGCTGTAGAAAGAGCCCCACCTGTACAATTTGGGAGCTCTTCTACTGCCTTCTCTCCCTTGGGATTCTAACAAGAAAGGGAGGACATTTTACTTCCCTCCCACTTCTCCCAGGAACACTTTATAATAGAAGTGCATGGGAGCAGAGACCCATCTTTGCCTATGCAAGGCTAAGGAAGAGCCCTGAGTCCTCAGCTACCCTCTTCTGCTTTTTTTTTTTTAACTAGGTAAAAGAAGCCATTCTCTGCCTCATTTCTTGCCTACCCTTAATCATTGAATGGGTGTTGCCTCAGACAAACTGAGACCTGGGAAAGACCTTAGTTTAAAAAGGTCAAGGTCTCCCACTGCCTCTCCAGTAGTACTGATCTATATTTTGTCACTGGACCCAGAAGGCTCCAGGGGAGAAAGTGAGGCTGGCAACTTTGCACAGCCCTCTCTCACTTAAATCCAATTCGCTTGCATGACATGGTATTAGCCCTCTGATGTCATGGTCTTCTTGCAAAACACCTCTCTAAGCACACCTTGGCAACAAGTAGTCTTGAGAAATGGATATTTCCAGCCTTGTTGACTTTGTTGTGAGTTTAAGAGTTCCTGATGTGGATGCTGGCTGCCCAGACAGAAATGAGAGCAGTAAAAGCATACTTCTCTGAGGAGAAAAAGCAGCACTTCTAGGAGTAGCCTGTGGCTAAAAACTAACGAAAGTCAGCCTTGCTGGCCAAGATATCTGGACCTTGTGAGTTGCTTGGATAGAGGTCCAAGGTGAACATAAGTGTAAATTATCTATCCAGCTATTCCATAAAGTTATTTTTACCTTCCTTGGTGGTAGAAGAAATGAAATGAGCTATTTGAGATGTTTTATGTTTTTGTGTTTGCTGATGCATACCTGTGAGACTTTTGCAGGGATATGTTAGCTAGTAAATGTTAGCAACTGGGTCTCAAAAAAATGTGCAGAGTAACACACTTTGAAGTTTAATCTACATTATTCACATTTTTGTCTATCACCTTCTTAAATTTAGTTCAGGGGTGGGGAATTTAGACAATCAGCAAAGCAATAAATTAAGCCCTGATTTGTAGTGTGTTTTATTATCTTTTCTCTGAAACCAAGATTGATCATTACTCAGCATTCAAGTTCCTTTCAGCATTCTTTTTTTATATTTATGTTATTGAAGTCATTATGTATATTGTTCTGGTTCTGCCTAGTTCACTCTGATATTCATACATTCTTCCCACATTCTGAATTCCTCATATTTATAATTTCTTATAGCACAATATTATTTAATTATATTTATATTTATATATCACAATTTATATATCACCATTTTCCTATCAATGGATATCTACTTTATTTCCAGTTTTTTTGCTAGTACAAAAAGTGATGCTATGAACATTTTGGTACCCCCAATAACATTTTATTTTCAGGCTTCTTGTCTGAAGAAGACTCTAGTTAATCCTAGGATATGATGAACAACCAAAATCAGAATGTCTCAAGTTCATTCAGCATCTTGGCCAAACATGGCTTCATGTCCCAAAGGGGACCATTTATTAGTCGTTGACAAGTAGTTATATTTAATGTTCAAATGAAATGTGAGTTCAAAATCTAAAAATATCGCAGATGATTAGAGATGATTTGACACTTGGAATGCCTACTACAAAAGCATTAACCAGGAGAATGGGTAGGACCTTGGTAACTAACAACATGTTTTCCTGGGAACAGCACAGAGATATGGAGTTCCCCATGACCAAATGGAGTGTCAAATTCCCAAGAGTGAAAAAAATGCACATTGGAAGTAGGATCACAGGATCATGGGTTTGAAGCCTGAAGGGACTTTGGAGGTTGTCTAGTCCCCTCCCACCCTCATTTTACAGGTGACTTGCCCAAGGTCACAGAACTAGTAAGTATCAGGCAAGGTTTGAGTACAGGTCTTTCTGACTCCAAATCTAGCACTCTAGCCACTTGTAACCACGCTGCCTCTCAGATTGGAATAAAGTTCTTCCAAACAAAGATCAATTTCATACCTGATGCAGGCAGATCTGGTGGTTCAAGATTGGGACTGGAATGAAGTCAGACCCTCTAAAATTTAACAACAAAGAAAGAAAGGAAGGAAGGGGGAGAGAGAGAAAGAAAGAGAGAGAGAGAGAGAGAGAGAGAGAGAGAGAGAGAGAGAGAGAGAGAGAGAGAGAGAGAGAGAAAATTTTTATTTACCAGTAGCATGAAAAGGATATTCGGCAAAGTTATAGTCCTGGTTCAGGTAAACATAGTCCTCCTTGTCACCATATGAAAACACCTATTTTCTGAAGGATGTGTTGGCTTACTTGGTAGTAGATAGAACACTGGTGCTGGCAAATACTTCACAACGGGCTCTCAGTGAAGGGAGAGGAGGGAAATGTATTCATGACACACTTTTAAGTTTAATCTGCAACGTTAGTATTGCCTCCGTCATTTTCTTAAGTGTAGACAACCAACAAAACAATAAACCAAGCCCTGACTTACAGTGTTCTGTGATTATGAGTATTAAATGACAATTTAACAGTCAGCTTTTGCAAGCTGGTTTGAGTTGGCTCTAGCACACTCCTCGACATTAATTAAGTTTGAGGGGCACCAACTCCTTTTATGCCCTAGGCAAAGAGGTAGTCATATCAATGGCTCAGGCTTTAGTTGCTTGAGTAGACTAATCAAGTGTCAGTCATCTTTCCTGACTTCTAGGGGAAAACTAGTCTCCCCTACTTGGAAGGGATTCTGATGTATATTTCTTCCACCATACCCCAGCCCTTGATGTCAAAGTCCTAAAGTGACTTTCCATCACTCTGATGGCCTCAGGGCCCAGAATATAAGGAGAATGAAGATCCAAAATCCTGAGCTTCACATCCATACTATGGAACAACCAAGTGCAGGACCCTAGCAAGCTGGTCCATATGGTGGGTGATGCCACATCTTTGCAGTCACAGTGAGCTTATTGATGTAAAGTGGTGACAATAAGGACAAACAGCACCAGGAATATCAGGGCCACAGAATAAATTATGATAATTGCAGCTTATCAGAACATGATGACAATTCTCATCAGAGATCAGGATCATTACCCTTTTACATCCATCCTGTCCCTATACCAAAGTCAATATGGAGACTTCCCCTACACAATTCCATACTTAATGTTCCTCAGCCCACCAGCCAAGACTTCCCCCTCCCTAAGTACCCTATTGGAGAAAAGGAGGAGAGAGGAAGGTGAAACCAAATCTTTATCCCTTTAAAGGTCTTTGAGAGGATCCTTCCACAGTGCTGGACCAGGATTCTCACTCACCTTCATTCAGGATTTCCATCAAGTCACTAAGATATCTTTCTTACAGCCGGTCATATGTTTACCATAGTTGTGCTGAAACAGTTCCATATTCTCCATAGTATTAGAAAGCAAAGCACCTTCCAACAATTCCACTTCCTGATCCCCCAAGCTTATTCTGGGAGGGAAGCTGTCCAGCTCTTCAGAGGTAAAGGAGACCTGCCAATGGAAGGGCAAAGAATGTTCCCTCTACTACTCTATCCTCCATTTCAACCTCCATTAAAACCATCGGGTTAATTTCAGTAGCTCCGTGGAAGCCATGTCTTTATTCCACTGAGAGGACTCTCCATATGAAACCAGAAGCACCATGGCCACAAGATGCCAAGCTACTGTTTGTGGCCATAGGTTTTCCCTGATTACTCTATTTTTACCTTATCCTCTGCATCATTCCTCCCATACTTCAATCATAAGGTCATCTATGAAGTCATTCCAATCCAATTCTGCTGACTAGCATCAAATGTGGGGGAACCTTACCATAGCACTAGACAAATCTAACCAAAAGATAAACAAGAAAGAATTTAAGGAACTAAATACAACTTTTAGAAAAATTGTAGGTGATAGACCTCTGGCAATTACTGTATGAGAAAAAAAAGGAATTTACATTCATCTCTGCTATACATGGGTCATTTACAAAAATTGACATGTATTGAGCACAAAGACCTCACCAAAAATGTAAAAAAAAAAAACCAAAACCCAACCCAAGAATACCTACCACATCATTTACTTATCACAATGAAATAAAAATTATATTAAATGAAGAACCGTTAAAGAAAGAACTAAAAAGTAATTGGAGACTAAATAACAGAATTCTAAAGAATGGGAGGGTCAAAGAATTATAGGAATTATAGAAATTTCATCAAGGAAGATGGTAATAATTAGACAAATGTCAAAACTTACACGATATATATATAAAGCATGTCCAAAGGGAAAATTTATATTTCTAAATATGTTCATAAACAAAAGAAAGGAAAAAAAATCAATGAATTGGACAGGCAATTTTTAAAAAAAAATCACAAACTAAATAAGAAGGGAAACATCCTGAAAATTAAAGAAGAGATTAAAATAATTGAAAGCAAAAAAGACCACTAAATTGATAAAGAAAACGAGGAGCTGTTTAAAAAAAACTAATAAAATAACAATTAGACAACTTGACTTTTTTCTCCCAGCCAAAGAACATCATATTATATCATATTATATTGTATTATATTACATTATATTATATTGTATTGTATATATTAGAACATCATATTGGGCAGTATCTCAGGGAATCTCAATGTTAGTGAGCTGTCGACTAGATTTTAAGAATCTAAGTACCTTAATGGGGACAAGATGGACCTCATATACAGAAAGACTATGGTAGGGATCTAGAAGTGGCCAGGTAGTCTATGAGGTAATAGAATTCCAGGGACCAGGACCACACTGGCCAAGCTAGAATGGAACCTAGATAGGATTAAGAGTGGGAAATGGCCTGGGGCCAAAGGGAGGTAAAACAATGGAGGGCTACTAGGTTAAGGGTAACAGAATTGGGAGATTGAATGTAGCCACAATGAAAGGCCAGTTGATGGGATTATAGCCTCAGGCAAATGCCACAGATTTGACCATATGGGAAAGTCCAGGGTTTTTCCTTTTTGGGGTCTAGCTCCCATCCTCGTCATTCTCCCCTCAAATAAATGGGACCCAAAAATTCTTTTGGGGCGAAGGTCTTGGCTTCTGAAACTGCTCCTGCTGGCGAGGGGCATAGAGCTGTCCCTGCCTCGAGGGGTTCTCAAAAAAGAGGTTGATGCACAGGCTGCATCCAGGGAACAGTGAGGGTACATTGGTTGGTACCCATTGTTTTCTGCTAACTGTAAGTGAATGGCCTGTAGTCTGGAAGACACAAATCTGACAGAAAAGACTGCAGGGCCCAGATATAGCGAGAAGTAAAAGTGTTAAGAGTGTAAGAGCCCCCTTAAAATTATTTACATTTGACCTGCAGGATTATCTGATCTTATTACTTTCTCTGAAGTTTAAGTAACACTTCTGTGGGTAAAAGTTTTCCACCGCTGCAGTATCAAATCCACCTCGTTTCCAGACTCAGGAATAGCCAGGTGGGTAACATTCCTTTTCAAAGGAATATAATGGGGAAATTGAGGCAGGAGGATCCCATCTTAGATTGAGGTTAAAATTGTTCTGATGCTGACTTCCCACCACTATCACATTCTCTGAGTAGCTTGTGGCATTTCTCTCAGATGGTGGATTATTGATTATCAATGGATTATGATCCATCAGACAACTCAAAATAAAATCCTATGAGCTTTTACCTCAAACAGCAAGTTTCACTAATCACAGCATAGGAAAAATTTTTCCAGGATTTACATCTCAAACTTAAATTTGTCCTGGTATAAAAAACCAATCCTTAGAGATTTCTGTATACTTGCAAATTCTCAGCAAGACAAAACCCAAACAAACTTTTTGACAAGTTTACACATTAAAACAATACCCAACAATAGCCAAATTATCTTAGCGATAACCAAATTATGAAAATTTGCTTGACAAAACTGATACAAAAAGTTCACCGATTTGAAACTTGAAACAAATCCATTACCAATCAGATGACTTCAGTTTTGTTAAATGCATTTCCAAGTTACTTTACACAGAGAATCAACATCTCATCATTAACAGTGAAAACTACAACTTTAAAAAGAGCATGCTTACCCAAGTTCAGAGGCTAGCTTCTTTACCTTGAGCAGGATGTGCTGAACCTGGATGATGATTCCAGGCAAAGGTTGCCCCAGGGCTCAAGGCCATTGCCAGTGGGACCCACACTGTAGCTGCTTCCCCTTCCCCAACCTTCCTTTCCCGGGTTGGGGAGGGCAAAATCAAAGGTGAGGGGTAAAGGGTGAAACTGTCTTGTCCTATAAAAGGGGTTAACAGATACCCTCTTGACTCAAGGGAAAGGAGTGGGAGAAAAGAGTGACCCGGGTTGTAAGGAGGAGTTCCAAACTCCTTAAAGATCAATCACGAAACCTCCAGAATCTGCCAAGATGTTTTTAGCTGTTCTAACTTTCCCCTGTAACTTCCATGAAGGAGAATTCAAGGGTGTAGAGGGAAGGGAGTAAGTAAGCCTTAGGGAACCAAAAAGTAACTGCAGTTTTCCCCAATTCCCTAGTGCTGAGAGAATTAACAGAATTGGGCATACACTTCCAGATAGGGCAGCTGTCTTTGTCCTCTACGCTGGGGAAGGTCTACCCAGGCCCATGGCATTGAACTGACCCAGTGGACCAAGAGCCTGAGAGCATCAGGCCGAGTGCAAGACAGCCTCATAACTGTCTGCCCAAAAAGTACCTCCAAGCCTTGGTGCTTGGAGAGTGACCCCAACTGCAAAGCAATAAAGGGGGGAGGGGAAGGCTTACATACCTTCCAGTCTTCGCTAGAGAAGAACTTGGGGTTAGGCAGTTTCCCCATACAGGCCCCCAAAATGTTGACGTGTAGGGATTCAGGGGGGCTGGGACCCCAAAATCAGAACATGTGGATCCTGCCTGAAAGAATTCTACCCAAGCCTTCTTTCAGCCAAAGACAAGTTTATTAGAACATCATATTGGACAGACTCTTAAGGAGTCTGAATGTTAGTGAGCTATTGGCTAGAGTTTAAGAATCTAAGCCACAACTAGACTTGTTAAGAGAAGCAAATTGTTCATCTCAGAAAGAAAAAAGAGAATTTAGAACAATTAAAGGTGAAATAAAGGAAAATTTTAGAAACTATTTTACCATTTAAATGCTAGTAAAACTAATATTTTAGAGAAAATAAATGGATTCTTATAAAAATATAAAATATGAAGATTAACAAGAGAAGAAATAGACTATTTAAGTAGCATAATTGTCAGAAAAAGAAATTTAACAAGCATATATTAACTCCTAAAGAAAAAAATAATCCAGGACTAGATTCTTTCAAAAATAAATTCTATAAAGAATTCAAGGAACAATTAATTGCAATATCACATAAATTGTTAGCAATAATAAGAAAAGAAGACATTCTTCTGATGTCTCTCTCTGATACTAATATGGTTTTGATACCTAAGCAAGATGGAGACAAAGAAGAGAAATAAAACTACAGACTAGTGAACATTGATGCAGGTTATAACAACATCTTAGAAAGATGATACACTATGATCAGATTGGCCTTATGTCAGGAATGTGGGGTTGATTCAACCAACATAAAAAAGACTATAAAAAAATTAACCATTTTAATAAAATAAATTAAAACCATAGGATCACATTAGTAGATGCTGAAAAAGATTTTGACAAAATCCAATATTTGTCTCAACTGAAACCTCTAGAAATCAGGCAATCAACTAGTGTTTATTAAGTGTTTATTATGTGCCAATCATGGTGCTAAAAAGGCAAAAGGCAGTCCTGAATCAAGGGGCACACAGTCTATTGGGATGTATTAGGAAAAAATGGATCTTTCCTTAATATAATAAATAGTATTTATCTAAATCCAAGAGCAAACATTATACGTAATGGAGAAACATTATAGTCCTTTCCAATAAGACCAAGAAAGGTAAAAGCAAAGGTGCCCATTATCACAGCTATTATTTAATAGAATGCTAGAAATTCTAGCTATTGGGGGCACCTAGGTGGCACAGTGGATAGAGAACCAGCTCTGGAGTCAGGAAGACCTGAGTTCAAAGCTGGCCTCAGACATATAACACCTACTAGCTGTGTGACTCTGGGCAAGTCACTTAACCCCACCTGCCTAACACAAAAAAAAAAGAAAAGAAAAGAAATTCTAGCTATAGCATTAAGACCAGAAAGAAAAAAATAAAAGACAAGAAAGGGAAAAAAAAGAAAAAAAGAAATTGAGGGAATAATCATAGGCAAAATAAAAACAAAATTATTACTGTTTACAAAAATGATATTGTATTTAGAAAACCCTAGAGAATCAACTAAAAATTAGTTGAAATAAAAACTTCAGCAAATCTGCAGGATATAAGATAAATCTACACAAATCGTCAGCATCTCTACATGTAAATAACAAAATCCAACAGCTAGAAAGAGAAATTACATTCAAAATAATTACAGAAACTATAACACTCTTGGGAGTTTATCTTCCAAGATTCTCCCAGGGACTATGATATATGAATCCAAATATAAAGACACTCTTTGCAGAAGTAAAGGCAGAACTAAATAATTGGAAAAACATCAATTGCTCATGGGCAGGTTGGGAATATAATAAAAAATGACAATACTATTGAGATTAATTTATTATTCAATGTTGTACCAAACTCCCAAAATATTTTGTGGAGCTAGAAAAAAATAATAATGAAATGCATATGGAAGGTGAAAAAAGATTAATTGCAAAGGCAATAAGGAAAAAAGTAGGAAGGAAGGGGATTTATTAGTGCCAGATCTCAAACTGTACTACAAGGAATTATTAAAATGATGAAATACTGCTGGGAAAACTGGACAGTCATCTGGTAGAAATTAGGTTTAGACAAATATATCACTTCATTCACCAAGTTCCAAATGGATACATGATCCAGATATAAAAAGGCACATCATAAGCAAATTAGAGGAGTAAGGAAGAAATTACCTTTCAGTTATGGATAAGGGAAGGGTTGATGATGAAACAAGTGCTTGAAGGATCTCATGAGATAAAAGGGACAATTTTTAATAATATAAAATTAACTCAAAATGTTTTTGCACATATTTAATGTAGTAAAACTAAGAATGGAAACAAGTATATGGGGTGGAGGTGGGGGGAATCTGCAACAAATTTCTCTAATAAAGCTTTCATTTCCAAGACACATAAGGAACTGTTTGAAATTTCTTTTTTTTTAAATATAAATTTATTTATTTTTAGTTTTCAACATTCCCTTCCACAAGTTTTTGAGTTCCAAATTTTCACCCCATCTCCCCTCCTCCCCCCACCCCAAGATGTCATGCGTTCTGAATATCCCTTCCCCTACTCTGTCCTCTCTTCTATCTCTCTCCCCTTCTCTTATCCCCTTCCCCTCCTATTTTCCTGCAGGGCAGGATAGACTTCTATACCCCATTTCCTATATTTATTTCCCAGTAGCATGTGAAAACTTTTTTTTAAACATATGTTTTTAAAACTTTAGGTTTCAAGTTTTCTCTCTTCCTCCCTCCCCACCCACCCTCATTGAAAAGGCAAGCAACTCAATATAAGTTGTACATGTGCAGTTATGCAAAACACGTCCATAGTAGACATGTTGTGAAAAACTAACTCTATTTCCCTTAATCCTATCCTGCCCTCCCATTTATTCTATTCTTTCTTTTGACCCTGTCTCTCCTCAGAAGTATTTACTTCTGATTAACCCCTTTCCCAATCTGCCCTCCTCTCTATCATCCCCCTGCTCTCTTGTCCCCTTTCCCCCCATTTTCCTGTAGGGTAAGACAGATTTCCATACCCAATTGAATGTGTATGTTATTCCCTCCTTAAGCCAAATCCTATGAGAATAAGATTCACTCATTCCCTCTCACCTTCCCCTGTTTCCCCTTCCACTGTAAGAGACTTTTCTGGTTTTTTTTGTGAGATAATTTACCCCATTCTACCTCTCCCTTTCTTCTTCTCCGAGTATAATCCTCTCTCATCCCTTAATTTTATTCTCCAGATATGACCCCTTAATCTTCAGCTCACCCTGTGCCCTCTATCTATCTACATATACATACATATAATTTTTTTCCTCCAACTACCCTGATACTGACAAAGGTCTCATGAGTTATAAATATCATCTTTCCATGCAGGAATGTAAACAGTTCAATCTTAATAAGTCTCTTATGATTTCTCTTTCCTGTTTACCTCTTCATGTTCCACTTGAGTCCTGTATTTGAAAGTCAAATTTTCTATTCAGCTCTGGTCTTTTCATCAAGAATGCTTGAAAGTCCTCTATTTCACTGAATGACCATTTTTTCCCCTGAAGGATTATACTCAGTTTTGCTGGGTAGGTGATTCTTGGTTGTAATCCTATCTCCTTTGCCCTCCGGAATATTATATTCCATGCCCTGCGGTCCTTTAATGTAGAAGCTGCTAAATCTTGTGTTATCCTGATTGTGTTCCACAGTACTTGAACTGTTTCCTTCTGGCAGCTTGTAATATTTTCTCCTTGACCTGGGAACTCTGGAATTTGGCTACAATATTCCTAGGAGTTTTCCTTTGGGGATCTCTTTCAGAAGGAGATCTGTGGATTCTTTCAATTTCTATTTTGCCCTCTGGTTCTATATATCAGGGCAGTTTTCCTTGATAATTTCTTGAAAGATGATGTCTAGGCTCTTTTTTGATCATGGCTTTCAGATAGTCCAATAATTTTTAAATTCTCTCTCCTGGATCTATTTTCCAGGTCAGTTGTTTTTCCAATGAGATATTTCACATTGTTTTCTAATTTTTCATTCTTTTGGATTTGTTCTACTGTGTCATGATTTCTCATAAAGTCACTATCTTCCAATTGCTCTATTCTAATTTTTAAGGAAGTATTTTCTTCAGTAAGCTTTTGGACTTCCTTTTCCATCTGGCCAATTTTGCTTTTTAGGGCATTTTTCTCCTCATTGGCTTTTTGGACCTCTTTTGCCATTTGGGTTAGGCTATTTTTTAAGGTGTTATTTTCTTCAGTATTTTTTTGGGTCTCCTTTAGCATCACTCTCAGTTTTTCCTCTACTTCTCTAACTTGCTTCTCAAAATCGTTTTTGAGCTCTTCCATGGCCTGGGACCAATTCATATTTTTCTTGGAGGCTTTGGATGTAGGGGCTTTGACTTTGTTGTCTTCTTCTGGTTGTATATTTTGGTCTTCTTTTTCACCAAAGTAAGATAATATAGTCTGACTCTTTTTGCGCTGCTTGCTCATGATCCCGGCCAATTACTTGAGTTTTAAACTCTTTGTTAAGGTACGAATCTGCTTCCAATGTGGAGAATGTCCTGTCCCAAGCTTCGGGGTTTGTACAGCTGTTTTCAGAGATACTTGTAGGGACCTGTGAATTTTCAGTTCTTCCAAGGTGGTATGATAAGGGGCAAGGTGTTTACTCCTTTCCTGGCCTGTGACCACAAGTACTCCTTTCTGTCCTGTAACTGTGATGGGGGGCTCCTCTCCACAACCACTACAAGCTCCACCAAGCCAGCGCTCCTCCTCCCCCCAGCACCGCTGCCCAGAACTGTGGCCCAGATCCAAACACGGGCAAAGCAAGAGATTCCTGCCTCAGCTCTGGCAAAGAGATCTCTGCAATCCCTCTCTGATCAGCCACTGGATTCCCCCTCAGTCTGTGGGCTGGACGCTAGGGAAGCACCTCCCCCCCCCAGGCCACGCTCTTGGGGAATGGAGCTGAAACCCCACCTTCCTTTCTCAGGCACCGACAGAAACAGACTTTTCCCACTGACCTTCTAATTTGTCTTTGGCATTGGTGGATTGAGGAGTCTGGAAACCTCCACAGCTGCCCGAGATTCAGTCCTCTGAGGCCCGATCCAGGTTTGCTGCAGCCTGCGTGCCTACGCTGCGGCCTGTGCACCCACACCGTGCTGCGCTGCGCTTCCAACCCAGCCAGGTTGTCTTGGCCTGGAAATTTGTTTCACTCTGTCTTTTTGTGGGTTCTGCTGCTTCAGAATTTGTTTAGAGCCATTTTTTATGAGTATTTGGAAGGGTTTGGAGGAGAGCTCAAGCAAGTCACTGCTTTCACTCAGCCATCTTGGCTCCGCCCCTCCTGAAATTTCTGAAAGTAAAAGTCATTCTCTGGTATATAAATGGTCAGAGAATATTGAGCAGGAAGTTTTTTTTTCTTTTTTTTTTCACATTAGTCATGTTGTAAAGAAAAATTCAAACCAATGGGAGGAACCATGGGAAAAAAAGAAACAAAACAAAACAACAATGACAACAAAATAGAGAGCAAATAGTATGCTTCAATCTGCATTCAGACTACATAGTTCTTTCTCTGGACGTGGACAACCAACAGTTTGTATCATGTCTTTTGGAGTTGTTTTAGATCCTTGCATTGCTGGGAAGAGCCAAGTGTATGAAAGTTAGTCATTGCACAATGTGGCTGTTACTGTGTACAATGTTCTCCTGGTTCTGCTCACTTCACTCAGTATCAGTCCAGGTTTTTTTGAAGTCTGCCTGCTCATCATTTCTTATAGCAAAATAGTATTCCATTATATTCATATACCACAACTTGTTCAGCCATTCCCCAATTGATGGGCATCCTCTCAATTTCCAATTCTTGGCCACCACAAAAAGAGCTGCTATAAATATTTTTGTACATGTGGGTCCTTTTCCTATTTTTGTGATCTCTTTGGGATACAGACCTAGGAATGGTATTGCTAGGTGAAAGGGTATGCACAGTTTTATAGCCCTTGGGGCATAGTTCCAAATTACTCTCCAGAATGGTTGGATCATTTCACAACTCCACCAACAATGCATTAGTATTCCAATCTTCCCACATCTTCTCCAACATTTATCATTTTTCTGTTTTGTCATGTTAGCCAAACTGATAAATGTGATGTGGTACCTCAGAGTTGTTTTGATTTGCATTTCTCTAATCAATAGTGATTTAGAGCATTTTTTCATATGACTATAGGTAGCTTTAATTTCTTCATCTGAAAACTTCTTGTTCATAACCTTTGACCATTTATCAATTGGGGAATGACTTGTATTCTTATAAATTTGACTCAGTTCTTTATATATTTTAGAAATTAGATCTTTATCAGAGATGCTGGCTGCAAAAATTGTTTCCCAGCTTTCAAGCAGGCAGTTTAAAAAAAAATTTTTTTAATTAATTTATTTTGAATTATCAACAATCACTTCCATAAGCTTTTGAGTTTTAAATTTTTCTCCTCCTCCCTCCCCAAGATGGTGTGAAATCTGATATAGGCTATTCATGTACATTCCTATTAAACATTTTCACATTAGTGATGTTGTAAGTAAGAATTAGAACTAGTAGGAGGAACCACCAGAAAGAGGAAACAAAACACAGCAGAAGAAAAAATATAGCAAATAGTATGTTTTGATCTGCATTCAAACTCCACAGTTCTTTCTTTGGATGTGGATAGCATTTTCCATCATGAAGCCTTTGGAGATGTCTTAGATCCTTGTATTGCTGAGAAGGGTTAAGACTATCAATATTAGTCATCGCACAATGTGGCTGTTACCGTGTATAATGTTCTCCTGGTTCTGCTCACTTCACTCAGCATCAAACCATACACGTCTTTCCAGGTTTTTCTAAAGTCAGCCTGTTCATCATTTCTTATAGCACAATAATATTCCATTATATTCACGTACCACAACTTGTTCAGCCATCCCCCAGTTGATGGGCATCTTCTCAATTTCCAATTTTTTTGCCACCACAAAAAGAGCTGCTATAAATATTTTTGTACATGTGGATCCTTTTCCCATTTGTATGATCTCTCTGGGATATGGCCCTAGAAGCGCTATTACCAGGTCAAAGGGGAGCAGGCAGTTTCCAAAGGAGAAATCCAAGATATCAACAACAACAACAACAAGCATTTATTATTTGAAAAAAACAAATAGTAAACTATTAAAATTTTTAAAAGATATGTAGACTCTCATGGCAATAGGACATCTGTTAAGTCCAAGAGGAACCAATTCTTCATGGGCTGAATACTGTAAATGCCTGGGCAGCAACCTCAGTGACTTGGACCTTTGTCACTCAGGCCAACCAAACTTTGAAAGGTCTTCCCTGCCTGTCAGGGGAAAGTTAGACTTCATGGCTAAAAAATTAGACTACTAGCCCCTGCTAGATTTTGGTTGTACCAAAAACTAAGACTAAAACAAACCCAAAAAAAAACTCTCCTAAAACTAAAGAAGATGTTTCATTACTGCCGGAATATTTGGAAACAATATAACATAATAAAAATTCCTTCTACCTCTTAAAATGTTTTGGAAGAAAAAGCTTTTCAGGAAGAAATGGAAATGCTGCTTACACAAAACAGACAACTGATGTTTTTATATATAAAGGAGAACTGGGCAGGCTCTTATAAGCACATGCAGTACTTATAAGCCTGCTTCTGGGAGGGCTTGATGATAAGTTATAGAAGGGCCCTGCTCCTTGATGTAGAGAGTGTACAGGTATTGTTTCTGGTCTGCTTGTCACACAAAGAAGATGAGACTTTCAACTAACTACTGGAATTAGAAATGAGAATGCTTACAACAGGCACTAACCAAGTGAGGCATTTTCTCTTTCCTGCCTGACTATTAGATGAGGGAATATTGGAGGCAGCTAGGAACATGTGAGTTTTGATAGATTAGGAGAGTAAACCACAGAAAGTCTAAAGATAGAAGTCCAGGCCAGAGTTTGCTATGAGCCAAAACACCAATACAGCCCCAAAGAATGGGAGCCAAGCCTAGCAATAGCTGAGATGGAGATTTATTTAGTGGTTCGGAAGTAAATTTTCTAGAACTCTGTAGAAATTAATTTAAATTCTCTTAAAGGAACCAGGGTTGTATAGGGGACAGTCTTGCCCCATATGTTAAGGAAACTGTTCTTGCTCTATTTTCCCAAGAAATATTCCTTTTAAAAAACAAATTGATATGAGTTGGTCAAATGAAACTGGGGCACTGATCACCGGTGATTGATATTGGGAAGAACACTGGTATAGGGGCATGTGCTAATAGCATTGGAGAAAGAAATCCCCAATACTCAGGGCTACTTCTATAGAGGTGGAGATGTAGCCTTGCTCTTGGGGATCTAACCAATCTATGAGAATGAGAGTTGGAATAAGGATACTCAGAGTTCATATAAGGGGTGTGTATAATACTGCATAATTTTTTTTGTATCTGTATGTGTATGTCTGCTCTACTGATGTGATTAAAGGCAAAATTTTGGTTTCTATTCAACAGTAAAACTATAAATCATGTTTGAAATAGCTTGAGTTTTCTCTGGGTTTTCTTTCCCATTGCATTCTTCTGAAAGCACTAAAATAACAGGAAGAATGTGGCTCTTGTAGGCTCAGAGAATTAATGTGAAAGGAGTTGCCAAAAAGATCATGTAATGTTGTGTCATAGCAGACCATTTTAAAAAAGATTTGTTTGCTTTATGGAAAACATGCCAAAAGAGACCCAGGGGAGAACACATGGAAACAAACCAGACATACCACTGATAGCATGGCCAGCCAGTAAGCTCATAGGATGAATTTGTGGGTTCTTGGGCCTCACAAAGGGTGATGTCAGAGACATCAGAAAGATCCTCTCGCGGCTATCAAACTCCAAGTTCAATAGGAAGTTGATCAGGAACAGAATGTTATCTATACAGGAATAGAGGGGACATTGCTATATGGTGAGGTGGTTCCTTTTCCTGCTTCATGACTATGATGGAAGTATTTGAAAGTATACTCGGAAATATTTGGAAGTATTTTTCTACCAAGATCTGAAGGCAAGATGCCTCTCTTTCCCCAGTAAGAGCCCCAAGGCAAGTCAAAGAAGAAGTCAGGGAGAATTATAGAAAGTGTAGTTTTAGGCTGTTCTTGGAATGACTAGCTCAGCTGCTGGGAACTTTTAAATTTAATTTCTATTTAGTACATATACTCTAATCTATAATGTGAGCATGTATAAAGTTTTAAGGCTTATAAAACACTCTACATACATGACCTGATTTGATCCACTCAACAACATTTTGAGGTGGATACTATAAATATTCTCTTTATTTTGTAGAAAACTAGAGGCCTTGATAGTACACGAGTCTTGATCAAACATTATATAATTTTTTGGGTCATACAAAGTGGGGAAGGAGATTTGAATTTTATTTTATTTTATTTTATTTTTGGCTAGGCAATGAGGTTAAGTGATTTGCCCAGGGTCACACAGCTATTAAGTGTTATGTATCTGAGGCCACATTTGAACTCAAGTCCTTCTGAATCCAGGGCCAGTGCTCTACACCCTGGAGATTTGAGTTTTAAAGGGAATAAGGGCATAAGCCATGTAATTTATGATAATCTTATTTTCTCCCCTAGATTACAGGAGATGAGAAATTAATAATAATAATAATAATAACTATTATTATTATAGCATTTATATTTGTTATAAACCTTAATAAATCCTTACTACAAAGCTTAATTTATTTATTGTATTTATATTTTTTATAAATTTTAAAGTTTATAAAACACTTTATATATATTATCTTACTTGATCCCCACAAAAACCCTCTGAGGTAGGTATTATTATTATTAACCCCACTTTACAGGTGAGAAAACTAAGATAGACAGAGTTTAAGTGACTTGCCCAGGGTTACCCAGCCATTAAATGTCTTATGCAAGATTTCAACTCAGATCTTCCATTTATTATCCACTAGCTGCCGTTGAAAAAATGGGGGAAGGCAACAAATGGTTGGGAAATGGGAAACAGAGTCACTGGACTTGGAGTCAAAAAGACCTGGCTTCAAATCCCACTTCTGA